TTTTTGTAACCTTTTGTTAAGAACACTGATGAAATGTAAAGCTGAAATGTAAAGCTCATGATATTAAAATGAAGTTTTCTATTGTTGTGCTCCTCCACTGAAGTCTTCAGAGCTGACCTTTTTCCATTATAAAGAGCCTAATATCCATGAGGTAATTTTTAAACAATATTTTGGGGGGATGTGTTTGCTGGCAGGCCTCTCATCCATCAGCATATATGGTTTAAAAATTACAACAAAACAATAAAAATATCATGATGGGGCACTTTTAAACTAAACTTTTTTTTAGCTATACATGAAGCTAAGAGGACAATGTCTACAATAGTGACACATCAATCAAATAGGGAAAACAGGTAAGAAATTATTTTCATGAGTGCAGAGTATAGAAAGCACTATTGATGACAGCACAAGAGATGAAATCCTTATAGTAACTTAATTTCTAACAGAATTATAAACAAGCCTTTCAAATTCTATGAAAACATGAAACGGGCTGCTATTCCATTTCCCTTAAATTTTAAATTTGTAGTTAATGTTTATTCTTGAAAAGTTATGAATTTCTTAGTTGTCAATCTTGTGCCAAATCACTGTTTTATTTACACAATTACATATTTCTAAGTTCACAAAGACGTTTCTTTAGTAACAGAACAGGTGATTCAGAAGTTATTTTACAATTAGCATTGTACACAAACCTGAAATTCTCGAAGAAGAGTTGATATGTTGGCTTCATTTGCCAGGTTTGTCAAAATTTCAAGCTATGGTAGAAAAAAAGACAAAGTAAATATTTTAAAACACAAATAAAAAGGATTAATTTAATAAAAGCTAGGCATTTAATAGAAAGGTAATTTGATTTTTAAAAAAGTTAGTTACAAATGGTGAGGCATTATACCCTTTAGGTGAACTCTTGTCTCCCTACATCTACATATAGAGAATAGATAATTACATAGTGCTTAAAAAATAATTATAAAGAGAATCCTACATCTTCTCTAATTGTTTGTCCCAATTTTACAATTTATATCTAATTAACCTAAATAATTTAAGGTAGTTTGACTTTTTAACTAATAAATATGGAAAACAACTGCCTTCGTGCTACACCTATTTTCCAGATACCAATTAATTCTCTTAATTTGTTTCCTTCATTCTCTTATACCAAATTCTTGGATATTTTAATTTTCCCGGATTTATAGTTCCAAGAAATAGGCAATGAAAAACCCATCTTCAATAGGCTTGCTAAAAAAATTTCAGATTTTACTTATAAAAATATTTAATTAATTTGAGGAAAGCATGAAAAGGAAAAAAAGGAACAGAGAACAGATGGGACAAACAGAAAACTAAACATGAGATATAGACATAAACACATTCATATCAATAATTACATTAAAAGTAAATGGTCTAGACACTCCAATTACAAGGCACAGATTAAAGGAGTTTTTTATATATTCGGTGTAGTCATCATTTTTCAGGTATATGTACTGGTAGTATTTTTTCCCAGATTATAGCCTGACTTTTCATTTTATTTAGATGAGAACATTTAAATTTTGTGTACAAATTTTTAAAACAATCTCAAAGATACAGAAAAGGTAAAAAGATTTATTTATGATTTGAACCATTTGAGACCAGAAGTACACATCATCCCCAAATACTTTTCTGTGCATATTTCTTACAAAAGGGACACTGTCCTACAGACCACAAAACAACCAAGAAAATCAGAAAATTAACGCTGATACATCACATCTATGCAATCCTCATTCCCCATTTAAGTTTCACCAATTATCTCAACAATGTATAATAAAAGGATCCAGTTCAATATCACACATTATATTTAGTTGTCTCTTTAGCCTCCTTCAGTGTGAAAGTTTCTCAATCTTTCTTTTTACACTCACAACCTTGACACTTTTGATTATTACAAACCAATTGTTTTGTAAATTATCCCTCAATTTGGGTGTGTCTTAGATTTTCTTATGATTAAACTCAGTTTTCATGTGAATAACGAATCATTCCAATATTTCCTGAATAGTCCACCCTTTCCCCATTGGTTTGTAATGTCTCCTCTATTATATAGTACATTTTCATATGCATGGATCTGTTTCTGGGCTTTCATCCTATTCCACTTATTTTTCTGTTTAAATATCATATTGTTTTAATCATTATAGCTTTGTATCCATAATTACACTCTATACTGTAGTTATCATTCCCTGAACACAACACTCTCATAATCCCTTATGTTAGCATAAACCATGCCTTTCTCCATCTCCCAACCCTACAACCTCCCAACGAATCTATTAACCACCAACAAAAAAGATCTCAAAAATATGTTATTCTTTTAAGAGCTACTCAAACATCATTTTTCACATGTCTTTTCTAAATCTCTCAGAGAATTAACCCCACCTTTGTATTTCTCACAGCACTCAGTTCAAATCTCTATAATATCACTTAAAACATATAGTACTAAAATGATCTATTTATACTTCTGTCTCCTTCAATATGCTGTGAGTTATTCAGGGTGTAGGTAGCACGCATGTTTTCACTTTGTATTATTATTATGTAGCATAGTAATTAGTATATAATAATGTAGTTTAGAAAGTATAAAGAAAATCCCTAAATGTATCTGTTTTTTAAAAGCAGGTCTCCATTTTGCAGACGCTAGAAGCTGTAGCAAGACCTTCAAAGCAAACATGTATTAAAGTATCTGAAAAATAAAAGCATGCCTACCTTCAGTGTCTTGATCATAGTTGGGTCAGTTGACCTAACATAGAAACTCTTCAGATAGGGTTCAAACATACCCTAGATGACAAAATAAATATATAAATACATTTCATGATATTAATGCATTAATTTCTCTCTTGAATTATGTATTCAAAATGTACATACCTTTCTGTGAATTGACATAGTTGCTATATTCTGTAGGACAATATACTGCACCTCCCTAGAAATTAATGGAGAATTTTCATTGGGTATATTTCCAATAGAATATCTTTAAGTAAACAGTACATTAAAGATAAAGAATTAGCAATAACTTTCATATTGAATGGAACTCAAATATAATTGAAAAGTTTTTAGTAAACTTAGATGTTTATGCCTTATTTTTAAATACATTTTCCCTAAAAATTATTATTAAAGTATATTTGATTCATCATGAGGAAGAGTTAAAACCAATTTTATAACACTATATTCCTAAGATGTAAAGCCAATACTGTAGCTGCTCTGAACATATGACACATGCAAGGAAGGTATTCTTAGAGCTAATGGAACAAATACAACCATAGAGTTAATGCAAACTCTTGATCAGAAGGCTCATTGTGCCATTCAACTCTGCCTGGAGTGAAAGACACGTTAAAAAAACAGTCAGGTTATTTTTATATCCAAAATTTTAAGAAGTGATGGTAGAACTGTACATGGTGTAAGGTTTCATGTGAAAGATCCATTTCAGATCCTTCTGATAACCTCTGAACTAGCTCTAAAAAAAAAAATTCTGAATTGATAAAAGAGAAAAGAATAACTATGTATAAAGACAGAGGAGAAAACAGGAACCCAAAGGAAGTAGTATCTTACTAAGGGATGGCAAAAGTCAATCGAGGGCTATAGTTGTGGCACTAAGTTTGCATTAAGGACCAAAAGAAATATGTATGTATCTTTCCCCCAACTCTATTAGTAGAAATAAACAACACTCAATGAAAAAAGTATTTTATTTAAAATATCTAATTATTGCAAAATATCCAGGATAAACTAAATAGCTAAAACAATGATATTCTTAAATACAGAAAACAAAGGACAAAACTCTGTTCTGAAACTTAGAAAGCAGATATCATGAAAACTCAAAAAAAGTTTTCTGAATTGTTGACCTGACCTGCTAAATTATAGTAGGTAAAATTAAACAGAAAGGTATTCTTGCTATCTGTCTATCTACAGGAAACAAAAAGAGTATGCATTTCTTTAAAATAAGCAGCTATGAAGAATATAGCTCCTATTAAATAGAGCAAACTAACAGTGACATGATTACTAGACTTAGTGTGGTGACCACACTGTAAGTTATTATAAATATTGAATCACTATGTTGTACATCTGAAACTAATATATATCAACTATATTTAAATAAAAAATTAAAAATAAAAGCTCAATAAGAAATAGAACTACAGTAATTAGAAACGACTTTAAAAGGAAGCAGCAATTCTGTCATAAACTACATAATTTAGCATATGTATTAGTGTAATTCATATAAAATTACACTAAGTCGATCTGATACTACATTGGTATAGTTTTCCAGTGATTCCAGAGATTTACTACTCCCAAACATTATTACTGTCACACCTAGAAATATCAAACACTCATAACTAGGGTACTAGGGACAGCACATACTATATGCCAAAAGGTATTTTTAATTTCTAAGAAAAAGGTCAATATTTATCATTAACTTTGAGATAAATTGTATACAATCTTTTGTAGTGATTCCCTTAGTATGAAAACTTGACAAAATAGAGCCACATATTAAATGCCTGAAAGACATGTTATATTTGTTGAAACATTTCTTCTGAAGGAATACAAAAGAAAACACATAAATAAAACCATGTCCTACCTATTGCTCCGAAGTAGACGCACTAGTGATTTAGAAATAATGCCAGCTTCAGATTTGGGTGATATGTGCCAGTACAGCTGAGCAACTGCCATAACCACCTAAAAGATAACAGTAAGCATGAAAACAGTAAGCGCGATGAACATTGGAGCACCCTACAGTTTCAAAGAACATTCTTACATATTTCCTATAACTCCTACAAAATTCCTATGAAATAAGATGAATATCTTGTTATCTTTGTAGCAGGTTGAATGGTGTCCTCTCAAGAACTTCTTGCGTCTACCCTTAATATGTGACCTTATTTGGAAATAAGGTCTTTGCAGAGGTTACTAATGCAATGATCAGGATGAGATCATACTGGATTAGGGTGGGTCCTAAATCCAATGAGAGTGTAAGAGACAGGAAAGGACACACAGAGACACAGAGAAGAAGGTCGTGAGGAGATGGAGGCAGAGACTGGAGTAAACAAACCAAGGAAAACCAAGGAATGCTGGCAACACCAGAAGCTAGCAAAAGGCAATTTCTCCCTCAGAGCGTCCAGAGGGAACCAACCCTATTGACACCTTGGTTTTGGACTTCAGGCCTCCTGAAATGTGAGAAAATACATTCCTGTTGGTTTAATCCACCCAGTTTGCAGTAATTTGTCATTGGAATCCTGGGAAACTAATACAGCCTCAAAAAAAATAAAAATAAAATAGGTGTTAAATGAATAAACCCAAGGTCTGACAGCCAGTACATGGCAAAGCGTGACACCACACTCCCAAGTCCCTTACTGCTGCTGCTGCTCTGAGACTGGGAAATTTTTTTTTTTTAATTTTACTGTAAGCACACCTTTCCAAACAAAGCCAGTCACTTCAGGATAACAGTATAATAATAAATAAGCTGAATTTTAAAAAATAAGTATATTTAAGTTATAATAAAAGGAACTCTTAAAACAATTCTTCTAAAACAGCAACATTTGAAATGATCTTGGTTTTCAAAATGCAGAACCTTAAAATAATGTTTGGTTCCAAGTCATTATAAGAGTAATCAGATTTCTCTGTCATAAAACGAGTACTGTATTCCCCGTTACAGGCCTCTACACTTACAGGTAGAGATCAGAAATCCAGACTTCCCTTTTACTAAAAGTATCCAGTTTAACATGTGACAATTGCAAAGCTAGAGCTACAGAAGTTACCGTATTTCCCCATGAATAAGACGTTCCCGTATATAAGACGCACCTTAATTTTGGGGCCCGAAATTTGAAAAAAAAAAGTATTACATAAAGTTATTGAACTCAAGTTTTATTCATCATAAAAAAGTGAAATTTGAAAAAAGCAGGAAATGCAAATAAAAAATCTACAACCTTTGTATAAGATGCACCCAATTTTTAGACCCCAAATTTTTCAAAAACAGGTGCTCCTTATCCATGGGGAAATACGGCATATTGTCGCTTTTTGGCTCAGAAGATATTATTATTGTCATATTACTTTACTTCTGATTGGTCTATAAAGTTCTAACAAATATATGGAAGGAGTTTTATATATGCCTGAAGATTATACAACACCTGAGGGTATGTGAAGTAAAAAGAGTTTCTTCTAAAATGAACATTTTTAAAAAAATACAATTTTTAGGGTCCATAATTTACTGTTGTTTGGTATTTCGCTGTACTGTTTGTTTGTTTTTTTTACAAGATTTATTTATAACTTTCAGACATTACTTGGGAATATGAGTAGTTTAAGGATATCTTATTTGTTCACTTGAGATCCACAAATTCACTTTAATTATAGAACAAATTCTCCTGAATGTAAAATCTTACAAAACAAAATCTCAATTGATGATTTCCTTAATCTACAAGTCGGTTATAGTTATTTTTTAAAATATTACAGCATGTAGCACTGACTAAGTTTCCTGAAACAACACTTTACTCAAAGTCGCTTGTAGAAGTTCAGAATAAGGATAAAACAAACAAAAATCTATTCACAATCCTTCAAAGGTCAGCCTCTCTATATATTTAGCATCAAATAAACAGGACACCAAAATATATTGGAACAAATAGTGAACCACCTCTACTTGGTACACAATCAAGTAAGCAGAACCAAAGCATACTGGGAACTAGAAGTACAAACTACTTCTATTTGTTTCACCATTCAAGAACATTTTTGATCAGCAAGTATTTGTACTATAAAATCAATTTCCAAGTTAAAATTAAATTATTAGAGAATCAACTATAAAGTACAGTTTCATGTGGCAAGTTACAGCTCCTTCACCATCTGGCCAAGCTGTGGCACACTAAAATATATGCATATTTTACGACATTAGTAAAATAATATTTTTTTATTACTGTGTAGAGTTACTTAATAATGATTAGAAACTAAATCACTAGGTATAAGAAAAACTGCTGCTAATTAATAAGATATATATACAAAGCTCTAAGCTCTAAATTTTCAAGTATCAGAAAGCAAAGTAATTCAAATGAAATTCCTCATTTTTAAAGTTTTTACTAATTGAGGAGAACAATTAAGAATTTTTTTAATTAAAACAATTTTAAGAAAATATTTAACTTGAATCTATCAAGACTTTAGACATAACTTCCAGGAAATACAGGTTATAGAAGAAAAAAATCAAATAGCACTTTGTAAAAGAATTAACCACATAAACCCAGAACATTCTTCAAGACTTGAGAGGTTTAAAAGATATAACAACCACATGCATTAGAGCAGACACTGGTTTAGATGTATAATTGATAAGGGATAATTTAAGATAAATTAAAGATAACAAGATAAATTAATACTAAATGAAATGAAATTTTATTGAAATCAAAAGATGGAGAGGAATCACTAGAAAAAAAGGTTAAAAATACTACAGAGTATGATTTCTATCTTGATTTAAAATATATATAAACACACATATATATGTGTGTGTCTATATAGATAGACACACACGTGAACATACGTATATTTATGCAGAAAAAGGATGGAAGAAAATGCATTAAGATATTCTGACAGTGTTTTCTGGGTGATGGGAATATGCTGTTTTAATTGTTTTTAGTTTTGCTAAGTTTGCATTTTCTGATTTTCAATTGTACACGTGTATTCTTCTAAAATATAAAGGGTTACTTAAAATAAAAAGGAGTAAAAAACAAAATAAAATAAAAAACCTAGGATCCAAATAAAGATGATTTTTAATAGTTATTCTTAACAGTTAAAATTTACTATGTATGAGGCATTATGCTCGGTGTTTTTATCAGGCACATACAAATACAGAGGGTGCCAAAAAAAGTATACACGCTTTAGGAAAGGAAAAACTATTAAAATTACGCTGATGGTAACCACTTTGAGCACCTCTTGTAATTGCAGAAGTCAAATGTGACTTGTATTCATCGTTTGTTATCAGTGTATACTGAGTATTACAATTTTAATACAGTTTTTGCCTTAAAATGTGTATATGCTTTTTTTGGGGCACTCTCTGTATTATGGACTAATGACAGATTAAGTACTCACAACTACAATCTAGCAACAGAGATATATATGCAATCTTCTAATCAACCCAGAAACACCTTGAGCTAATATCTTAGAAAAAGCCAATTAACAAAACCATACACACACAAAAAAATGAAATACAGTAGGCATACAGCTATGAAACCAAGTAATCTCCTCAAAACCCGATTTTTTTGGTATATATATATATATATATATATATATATATATATACACACACACACACACACACATACATACAAATACTCCATTAGCAAACTCAAAAATAAAGACTTGTTTACTCAACTTACATACTTTTAACCATCGTTTAAAAAAAAAATCTGTGAATTATTTCTTAAAAGGGTTTTAACATACCGCTGCATTCCTGCTCTGAAGCAAAGGCTTTGTATTCCGAATTAAAAGTCTATGATCTGGATCCATAGTATAAACTTTCTTCCTTTGCTCAGTCTTTTCCTTCTGTTCGCCATCAGATTCATAGAAATTCTTTTCGTTGTCCTCTAGACCACCATCCTACAGGACAGAAATCCAATCCCATGTTTAGTTCAGACCTTGAACAGCCCAAATATTAAACAAAGAAAACGTTTTTTAACATCTATAATAATATTTTACTGTAGAATACTACTTTTGAGGCCATTTGAAAATACTACGCTACCTATATGAAAGAAAGGTCTGGCAGCTTCTCACATTTTATAACACAGTAACTGTCCTTTAGTGCTATAGGTAATACTTCTTTTATATTACATATTAAAACGCTGAAATATTAAATCCCCATAGAAATACTCATAGCTGCCCAAAGAAAAAACCTGACCATTTGATTCTAACAAAGCCTATTAATATGAGACGACTTAAAACATAAAAACTAATTCCATAAATTACCAGTCACTCTGTAACTGGATCAAAGGGTCAGAAGAAAGAGGAGAATTTTTTTAACTGCAACACACATAAAAGAAATCATAATAAAGCTTGACAAGTAAAAAACTAAGTGATCAGGCAGGTCAAGAAAGACTCAGTCTGAGATCTAAATATAGACATAGGAGTTGATTCCATATTTTTATTTGTACCTTTTGTTTGAATTTTTTTTATTAACATTGTCAATAAAAATCAGCTTATAGGTATTTAGTCCTAAAAATAAATCAAAAACACCCCACAAAAAAACAAAAAGCACACAAAGACAATTAATATCCACGTGGATCCAATTCAACTACTGTTTCAAGGTAATTTCTGTTACCAAATACTTGAAACATACTTTTCACTTCTGGGAAGATGGAGTAGATAAACTTTTCCTTAATCCTCTCACTAAGTACAACTGGAAATCCAAGGCATTATATATAAAACAAACATAAGAAAGGAAAGGCAGAGGCAAGAAGAAAGATTGGATAGAAACCTCAGGACCCAAAGAATAACTACAGTGAGTTCCTTGGGTTTTCATTTTTACCTCATATATTAAAGATTAAGTGCTAAGGAAGCTGGTAACTCAGAAACACCAACAAGCATAGATAAAACAAACCCTCCCAAAGCCTGCTCTCTGTAGCCAAAGGACCAAGAAAGGAAAAGTCTAGCAAGACAGAAAACTTTTTTAGAAAATAACTGCTCTAGTGCAGCCAACATACAGAAAAAAACCACAGCCCTATCCCTATCCCCACCAGCAAAAGCTGACTTGGAGGGCCTAGATTTCCTTCCTCATCGGGCTACAATGAAATGCCCCAACCATCCCACTGAGGTGGTATCAGAAAACACCAAGATGGCTCTGAGACATTAATCCCCACCAGGAGGTAATGAGGCACCCCAGTGGTGCCAGTGTAGACCAAGTGGGGAGTGTGAACATCCAAGCTAACCTATCAATAATGAGGTGACCATACCTCTCCTCACTGGGCTAGTGTGCAAGGATGTATAGTGGACACTCAGGACTTGCATCACCAACCAGTAGTAATAAGTACACACCACTCTGTGGTGTTAATGGAGGACACATGTAGAACAGTAATGAGGCACTTCTATCTCTCCAAGTCAGAGAGAGCTATCAGGTGAGTATTAGCGGGGAGCCAGAAATCCCACATTTATTCACCCATAGTAACAATAAGCACAATCTCCCTGAGGTGTCAATGGAAGCTGAGTGGGGAACCTGGACTTCTGCCATGACCTGGCAATAATAAGGGGACATGCACCCCACCTTTCCCTGATGAAGTGCTGTCAAACAAACTCAGCTAAAATCAAAAGCATAAGATCAAGAATCTCATAATATCCAAACTGTCTAGGTTTCAATAAAAAAATCACTCATCATTCCATGAACCAGGAAGATCTCAAATTATTAATAGATGAAAACAGATAAGCAGTAGATGCCATCTCCTGGGATATTAGAATTATCTGATAAAGATTTTAAAGCAGCCATCATAAAAATGTTTCAATGAGCAACTAGGAACATTCTTGAAACAAATAAAAATATAGACCGCCTTAGCAAAGAAGTACAAAGTCTAAACAAAGAAATAGAAGACATAAAGAAAGACAGAATAGAAATTTACAGCTGAAAAATACAAGAACCAAACTTAAACAATTAATGGTATCAAAAGCAGTGTCGACGGGATTGAGGAAACCATCAGTGAACTGGAACACAGAACAGCACAAATTATCCAATCTGAATAGAGAGGAAAAAAAAGAACGAGGATAAAGATAAAAAAACAAAAAACAGAATTCAGGGACCTGTGGAACTATAACACAACTAACATATCCTGTCATAGGCATCCTACAAGAGAGGAGAAAGAGGGTGGGCTGAAAGAGTACACCAAGAAAATAATGGCTGAAAAAATTCCTAAATTTGGCAAAAGACCAAAAACTACAGATTAAATAAAATAGGCAAATCCTAAAAAGGATTAACTGAAATAAATCTATCATAAGACACATTTAAGTCAAACTTCTGAAACGTAAAGACAAAAAAAATCTGTAAAGCGGCATGACAGAAATGATACTTGAGAGGATGAGGTAATGAATAAGAGCAGTTAGTGATAATGAAAATATAGGACAGATTCAAGATCTACTTAGAAGTTGAAATCAATAGGATGCAATGACTGAATATGAAGGAGACAGGGGCGCTCACTAAGGACACACCCATTCCCAACTTGGACGACCAAGCAGCTGATGATGCTACCATGTGAAACAACCCTGTATAGGAGGGAAACATTCCTCTCCTTCCCAAGCTGCTTGCTATACAAACATCCTTAAAAGTTAGTGCAGAACAAAACCTAGTAACACCTTTACTCAGAAGAACTGCAAACATGAGAAAAACCCATGAAGTACTGTCTCCCAATAGTTTCTTTTGCTCATGGCTGACCTGCCCCAATTCTTCTAAGTGAACTTGCTTTCTATAAACTAACAAATTTCCTCCAGCAAAAGACAATTTATAATTTGTGATCTCTAATCGTTTTTCCTTCAGCATGGCAGAACAGTTTTTTGACATAGTTACATAGCTAGGCACAGAGTTCTTATGACTTTACACTAAAAGCAAGGTCCATAAAAGGGAACACTGATAAATCGGATCTCATCAAAATTAGAAACTCTTGCTTCATGAAAAACCCTCTTAAGAGGAAGAGAAAAAGCAAATTACATACCGTATTTCCCCATGTATAAAATGCTCCCATGTATAAGACGCACCTTAATTTGGGGACCCAAATTTTTTTTAAAAAAAGTATTACATAAAGTTATTGAACTCAAGTTTTATTCATCATAAAATTCATACAACTCATCACTGTCAAAACTCCCAAACATTAGCTACAACCACTGTATAAGACGCACCCAGTTTTTAGACCCCACATTTTTCGAAAAAGGGCGCGTCTTATACCTGGGGAAATATGGTACCGTCAGAAAATTTCTGCAACCATATATGTGACAAAGGACTAGTATCTACAATATTAAAACCACTCCCAAAACTTAGCAGTAAAAAACACAATCAATTCATTTTAAAAAGGCAAAAGATAATGTTTGCAACTGAACTGTTAGCGACTGAACTGTGTGTCCCCAAAAAAATTCACACCTCAAAGCCCCAATACCTACGACTGCATGTCAAAATAGAGCCTTTAAAGAGGTAATTAAGGTTAAATGAGATCATATGGGTGGAACTGCAATCCAATACAACTGGTGTCCTTATCAGAAGAGAGACTCCAATGGTGGCACAGACATGAGGACACAGTGAGGGCACAATGGAGGCCATATGAGGACACAGTAAGAGGTAGCCATCTGCAAGTCAAGGAGAGAGGTTTCAGGACAAACCAAACCTGCCAACAAACCTGCCTGATCTTGGACTTGCAGCCTCCTGGAAGAACTGCGAGGAGCTGAGGGACCTGAGAAACTTGCTTAAGCAATCCAGTCTGTGGTATTTTGTTACAGCAGCCCTAGCAAGCTAGTATGGATTATGATAACAAGAAGTAGGGTGCTGCTGTAATAAAGACCTAAAAATGTGCGAGTCGCTTTGGGACTAGGTAGAGGGTAGAAGCTGGAGCAGTTTTCAGGGGCATGTTAAAAAAAAAAAAAAAACCACCCAGATAGCCTTGAACAGACAGTTGGTAGGAATATGATGTTAAAGGTGATTATAATAAGATCTCAGGTGGAAACGCGGAATATGTTACTGAAGACTGCAGGAAAGATGATCCTTCTTACAAAGTGGCAAGGAAGTTGGCTAAATTGTGTTTTAGTGTTTTGTGCAAAGTAGGAAGTTAAATGTGATGAACTTGGACATTTAGCTGAAGAGATTTCTAAGCGAAGTGCTGAATGCGCAACCTGGTTTTTCCCTGGTGCTTACAGTCATATGAGAAAGAAAGATAAATTAAAAGAATTTAAGCAAAAGTAAACCAGAACTTGAAGATTTGGAAATTTCTCAACATATCCATATTGCAAAAATTGAGAAAACGTCTTCAGAAGAGAACACCAGGGGTGTGTCTAGAAAACTATTTGATAAAGAAATCATGTATGCCATTTGTCGATTTGATAGAAATGGGATTTTACCAGCAGAGATACTTCCAGTTGGACCAAAGGGAGACAGGACAAAATGAAGAAAGGCTGTCAGATTTCTAGGATTCAGCAGCACAGGACAATGTGAGGACACAGAGAGAAGGCGGCCATCTGTAAGCCAAGGACAGAAGCCTCAGGAGAAACTAAACCTGCCAATACCCCTGATCTTGGGCTTCCAGCCTCTAGAATGATAAGAAATAGATATCTGTTGATTGAGCCACCTAATCTGTGGTATTTTGTTATGGAAGCTCTGGCAAACTAATTTGGACATCAACAAACTATTCACCAAAGGAGACAGACAAATGGCAAGAAAATACATGAAAAGATAATCAACCTCATTGGCTATTAGGGAAATGCAAATTAAAACCACAGCAAGATATCACCACATACCTATCAGAATGGCTCTCATCTAAATTTAAAACAACAGGGGCAACACCAAATGATGGAGAGGACATAGAGGAAATGGATCACTCATACATGACTGGTAGAAATGTAAAAGGTTACAGTCACTCTGG